GGGGGGGGGTGAGGAGGTTCCAGTGCCCGAGTACAATCTTTTACTTGACTTCGAACAATAATGAAATAATGCACCCGAATTGGTTTGAACATGTTGACCTGTAAGAAACATTGAACCCCGAATATCTTCTAAGGTAACCACTTCCTAAGGCTTGCAGACATTTTTAAATCCCTAGTCTATCAATGTGCACCATCTAGTGAGTAAAATCGTGTGTTTTATGTCTATGCCTGTCAGACTCGCTTTAGCGCGCTCATATGACCTTATGCAGTTGCGAGCGCCGTAAAACCCCATACTAAACTAACTAAGACTCGCTTTTTCCGTACACTGAAAGACCAATATGGTGTCGATGTGCCTCATTTTATCCAACCTCACCTGTTGGTGTCCGGGGTGTAGTGGTCAGGCTCTTAGCCATTGTGCGCAGAAGACTAAGGTGAGATTCCCAAGAGAGATGGTTTTATTTTCGAGTATCCTCATTTGTCTGTTGCGATCTCTTACCTCACCCACCTTGGATTGAACCCTGATAGGTAGTCGAAGTAGCCCGCCTCCTGATTGATGTAAACTGTGTTTTTGTTTTGTTTTCGTTGTTTCTGTTTGTTTTGTGTTGTGGTGTTTTTTTTTGGTGTGTTTTTTGGGGGGGGAGGCGTAAAACATTTACATTTACTATTTACGATTCTCCAAACAGGTGGTGCCGGAGATGCCATTGGGTCTACCTCCGATACGTGGAGCGTACGGCAAGATGATCGACGACTACGACGACGTGGACGACCCACGTATGAGAGGTCTGCTGGAGGAGCTGTACAAGGACAAGAAGTTCCTCGACAAAAATCTGCGTGAGTTCATCTTTCTTTGGTAGTTATGTTCCAGTAATATTTTACTATCAACACAAATAGGTTATGTAACTGCCGAAGATAAGAGGTGATATTAGGGCGTAGCATATTAAAACAAGGTGCAGAAGAAATAATGATGATAGGTTTCTTTAAAGAAAAGAAGGTGGAAACAACACCAGAGCACCGGCTAGCCATCTAGGTGAGTACTTCATGAATTCCTGTATTTCATGTGCTGTGAGAGTGTTTGTCGCCATGTTGAAACCCTTAGAGTAAGTTAAGTAGTGAAAATGTGTGGCTTGTTTAACCGTACACAACAAAGTAAGGGTGTTTTACTCTATTTTAAAAGCTTTATTGAGCGATGACGAATGCTCAGTCGAGAGCTTGTTGTACACGTTTTCTCTTATTCACACACTGTGTCTACTGTCAGTGTTTTCACACAATTTTGGAACCCTTTTATTACTTTTAGAGAACAACGTTAGTTAAATGCATTGCATTAAGCCTCGTATTCGACTAACGTGTCTGAGCGTGTCTGCACTCTTCATCATCATCCAGTGCCAGATCTGCGACAGACACTGGCGATTATGGTTCTCTATTCATTCCTTTGCTCGGATGCTCTAAAAAAAGCTATGTTTCCAAGATTATTCCCTGTTACCCATTTGTTTAGGTTCCCTAAATATGTTGTTCTGGGCCTACCCTTGCCTCGCTTGCCCTCAATTTTGCCAGTGAGAGCTTGATGTTGAACCTTATGTCTATTCAGGTGTCCCAAAAACTAATGTCGGCACTACAGATTCTGTAAAGCTATATACAAGTACCTGATGCCTTCTCATTTCACACATATTGGTAACACGTCTTGCGGAGTTTAGAAGCCTTATCAGAAGACAAAAAAGATTTCGTACACATTTTATTACATAAAGTGTCTCGTGATGAACATGTTGTTTGGGGCTCTCGTAAGTCGCTACCCTAAAGACAAACTTCTATCGGCTCAGTGCCTAGTTTTGAGAAATCTATCGTCAAAAGTTTTGAGTCTCACAACATATCAAGCTTTTTCTAATGTACTTCTTTGAACATCTTGATAACGACTCCGAATAATCTTAGGATTTTGATAGAGAAGATAAAACATTTATTTGGTTTCTCATCTCATGGTCTTAATATCGCGAAGAGGCTAAAATGTCAGATAGAACTTTGTAATTCTAAGGTAGCCAGAAGACAAAGAGCTTGTCAATGTCAAAGACTGAACAAAGAGAAATGAGAAAGTAACGAACTAATCTCTGGACTATTCAAACTTTTCTGTTCCAATTACAGAAGAGCCGGAAGCTGACGAGGACGCTTTTATCCGGGACCGCGCCCAGGCTGGGCGCCAGTACCTGCTGAACCGCGCCAGATTCTGGTCCACGCAACAGCCGTTGGTCAGGCCAGGCACCACGACGGGCGGAACCAGGACCAACACAGCTCAGTTGTCCAGAGGAGGCTCCTCTCACAGGTCAAGGTCAGAGGAGAGGTCGCACGAGCAGGAGAATCCTAAGTCCTCTTAACAATAAACGTTAGAACGTAATCATGTAAAAAGAAAATAATAAAATGATAATATATGCTCTTGTTACTTGTTACTTGTGTGAAGGACCGACATCACTGCACAAGGGGCATCCCCATAAGCGCTCCGTCCCCCTGAAGAAGCACATCTCAAAGTGTGTAGATAATAAATGCAAGTGGGCAGAAACTACAATGCTGTTTATTTGGTTGTTGTGTAGAAAATGCCTATAGCGAGCTGTATTGTATTAAGCTATGTTTGCGTAAAAGGGGACGCCGTTATTATATTGAATCTCTATGTTACATCTAACTCCAGCACATTGTGGAAAAACGGTAGCTTCATAATGCTAGAGTTAAAGAATGCTGGTGACTATAATTTCTTGTCCAGCAGCTACATAGATTTCCCACTACTAAAAGAAGTTGTTGTTGTACTTCTTAGGGGGGGGGGTGGAATGGGGGGGTCATACAGTAACTTCTTTTCTTTAGCTGTGATTTGTTGGTGAAGAAGGTGAGACTTGGGAGGAGGGAGAGGACAAGGGACATGTAATTTCCTTGGTATTACATCTTATAACTAGTTTTTAAAATGAAGAGTGCTATAGAAAATCTTCTGATTCATATGAGCGATCTTGAGTTTTATCTAAACGTCTATCATAGGTCAAATTAGACATTGTCATAGTTGTACTAGGAATATACAATGTGAAAACCAATAATACATGAAGAAAAACCCCCAAAACAAACCACAATACATTTCATTTAGATCTAAGAAACTTTAGGTCAGTTTGTATATCATATTTAGCCGTCTTTAGTGTCTTAATATTTGTAAATATAACATCACACCTACATTTGATCAAAGACGGGTTTTTTTATACCCCCTGGGGGAATATGAACCTCATACAATTGGATTTATAAGTTTGCATAGTGTCATTTCATAATACAAGCATAGTTTGACAAAATATTTTATTCATTTATCACCTCCCAGTCAACATGCAAATGCAAATGTATCCATATTGTCAATGTTTGGAACTGTTACGTCTTAATGATGGACAGTGAAAACCTATTAGCCACTATTTTTTAGAATCAGAACAGCTGGTTTGAGATTGCAGATTTACAGTATTCTTTTCCTGGATCGATAACAACAACAGTATTCTTCTGTTTGTTGCTAAGTTTTACCATCCTATTCCAACCAGACTTGTTTATTTGCATACATACCATTCCACTTTACCGTATATTAGACTGTATATGAAATGTACTTACAAATCATTATGCTTCACTGTATCATGGACTAAATACGAAGTTTGCCGACATAACATTATAATTTGATGTATCATAGACTTAATACGATGAGCATTAGAATGAATCATAGGTTCAAACTTATGATTTTTTTTCCTAATTTCTATCTGATGCGGAACGTGTTGCTTAATATATTATCAACTTTAAAATATCATGAGTGTAAAGAATTGTTTGTTTTTGTATTTATTATTATTTTTGTTATGAATATTGTGTCGATCATTGTTTTGGGGGAGTTTTTATTGTTTATTTTTTTAACTTAACCATGTTGTTGACAGTTGGTGCATAATAATATTATATGTCCTTTTCCTTCATGATGTTGTGATGTATATTGTCAACTGAAGTATTTATATGACGGAACCTTTTTTTCCTTAAGATTTATACTTTTCTGATAACGAATATGTATGAGTAAACTTATTGCTTAGGTGATCGAAGCAAATGATTGAGAAACAACTTTTATGTATGAAGTCACGTTTTATGAATTCCTTGATTAAACGTCTATTGTAAAGGTTAGAGGATTCTGGCCAGATGAATCCAATATACATATTGTTTATCGTGAAAAAACCCTATACTAATATTGCCCTGACAAGGTGAAAAATGGGAGGTGAAAACTAAGATCCATTTCCAAACCCTTCTATCCTCAATTTTGCTTTAATCACAACACCCCCTCTCCCCTGCATCCCTCCCTTTCACACTACATTATCTCTTCCTCCCTCTTCCTCTCTCTCTCTCTCTCTCTCTCTCTCTCTCTCTCTCTCTCTCTCTCTCTCTTGCCCTCTCTATTCCCCGCTCTCCCTTTCTCTGATAGAGGCAAAAGAGGGAGGAGCGAAGGAGAGAATTATAGAGATATAGAGATAGAGACAGAGAGGTAGAAAGACAGAGATATAAATAAAGAGAAAAAGAGAGACTAGATAGATAGATAGATAGATAGATAGATAGATAGATAGATAGATAGATAGATAGATAGATAGATAGATAGATAGATAGATAGATAGATA